AAAATAAATTAAGCATTGAGTAGATTGTAACTGATCTAAAATGATGTTAATTTCGTTATTTCTCAATCATTAAAGGAAATGATTATCAGTATGAGATTGAGCGTTCGCACGCGAGACCGAAGACCCTGGGTTCGAATCCCGCGAGCGGGATCGTGGATGTGCACTGTTGAGGAGTCCCACAATCAGACAAGTTGGCTGTTCAGTACTTCCACGTTTTTCGTGGTGTTCTAACTTCAATTGACTAATGATCTAAACTACGAAAATTACCATATTATCCACAAAACCCCCCTATTATCGTTAACTTTACTCCTTAAAATGATAGTCTATATTAAAACAGAATAGTGATGAATAATTAAAGGGTAGTTATGGTAGTCATCAAGAAGAAAATAATAAAAAGTTGTTGTTATAGTTGGTTAAATAATGGTTATGAAAGTAGTTGGAAAGAGATAAAAAATACCCTATGGATTATGAGAAAAGGAAGGAATGTTAAGACCGTGGAAGACTATGGAAGAATGCAAGATTGAACATACTGTTCCTTTCTAAGGCAATGATTACTCTTGAACTAGTGATTAGTAATAACCTCTACTACACATAAGTTTTTCATCTTAATGCTTCGTTAGCCGACTATGATATGGATGATTTTTAAACAGGCTTTTACAGAACTTGTTTTAGCTATGCATAATCCATCGTTCAGCTGGGCTTTCCAATGGAAATTCAATTCAATAATTATTAATTTAATAGTTGAATTAATGAGTCAATTAAAGCTAGACCACTATGGAAAACCTGAATGCATCAGACGACCGTTTTGTTCTAGTATGGAACTCCTCAGCAATGCGCATCCATGATTTCATCCCTTGGGACTCGAGCCTAGGATCTATCGGTCTCGCTCACGAACGCTTAACCTCTAAACGACTGAGCCGACCGGCATCCAACGGTGTTAACGTCGAGCTTCAACCAATCCACGAAAATGAGTTATCGTCTACTATATTATTGTAGATTATGTGGAGAAAGTGAATACATTGCAATGAGATAGAGTAGTATAAATCATCCCATAAAAACAAACTTACAAATATTATAATGTAATTTATATAGGAACATCTTCTAAGTTAGAATAACCACAAATCATAATCAGAAATGTCTAACATAATCACATTTATCAATCTGTCTTGAATTTGATTCATTAATACATTGGTTCATTGGAACAGAAGAAATACCATAGTCTAGATAGCTGTTTTTCAATAATAATGATACTTTATTCTTCAACTGACTGTATTCTTATTAAAATGAATAATCTTAACACATTACAGGGATTTGTAAAATCAAATTTTGCATTGATGCGTGATCTCGATGGTAAACCAAGAACACCAAGAGATCCTAGATCAGGAAGGCCACCTTTAAATAATCAAAGACAATATGATGCAAGGTGAGATATATATATGTTTTTTATTTACTATAATTTCATATTCGTACTTAAAAGGTTTGAATGATTTTTTCTGGTTAGCGTTTTTTTAACGAGTTCGTTTTCTACGGGATGTGGTCGCTAATCCCATGCCCAACCCTCCTCCTTTATCCGGGCTTGGGACCGGCAGCAGCCCTCGGAGGGACTCCAGGCGGAGTTAATTTTACATTCGTAGTATGATATGAATTATTTGAAAATTTGTGTCTTATGCACTTCCAGTGATTATTCCTGATTTCTTCCTCCACTGGTATCCGGTATGTTCTCTCTTACAGTAGGTTGTTGCTGATAGTATCGCTCTAATGAATCCAAAGTATTTTACGTGAAATTTATGTTATACTTCAGGAATTCATTTGGTACTTTCAATGCAATGGGTTATTAATAACAATTTAATCGTTTGAAGATCCCAATCATATTAAAAGACTAATATATGAATGAAGAATTGATTATATATTGAGATTGGGTTACTTTTTTAAGCAATGAAGTAAATATTCTTCTTCCATCACTTACATCTGCATGTAATTCATTTTCCAACATATCAACAATAAGAACGTCAGATAATTTCTGGAAGTATGCTAATGAAGTCAATCTGTAGTAAACATAAAAAATTGATCTAATTCTAATTAGTTGATTTTCATTTAGTAGGTCAGTCAACCATAACAGTCAGTCAGTCAGCTCCAACGTAGGACCAGGCGCATATATGCATCGGTTCAAGTTGCCATACCTCATTAGCACAACAAGATGAACATCGGATTCATAGAAGTGGTTAATTCAGTGGTGGTAATATATAAAAGAAGGACATAGTACAGGAAGAAAGAATTGGTTGGTAGAAAGAAAGATACGAACCGATTTTAGTCTCAGAGTTTAAGGGAAGACAGAGAGTGGATACACTGACGCCATTGTGATCGATTCTGAGCAATGTCACACAAAGTCTCCAACCATTGGTTACGATAGTCACGCGGACCAAAACCGAGTAGTTTGCATCCACCAACATGGCTCAGACTAGAAGTTAGTGACTTCAAGGATTGGTGCCACGTTTTGATTTGGCCACACCTAACTTTCTTCTAACCATCCACAACACTAGTCATCATTGCGCGTCGTGGTAATCGGTCAGACATAAATTGAATAAGGCAGTTATCATAAACCCGAGTATAAATGAATTCAGTAAAACCTAAGATACTGAATGATAAATATAGTTATCAAAACGGATAATAATAATAACTGATAGATCTGCTTCAATTATCATACTATAATCTCTTATTTTCACATATTTTTGTTTTAAAATCAAGTTCTTACTATCTATATTTTATATTATTTTTTCAGTGAAAATACAGTCAGAACAATCAACCGTCCATGGGTTACAGCTGCCGGGAAATTTTCAAAATCTTTCTTATCTTTTGTTACACCAGCTATGCTCGTGAGTTCTATCTACATACACTCATTCAAATCTTATATCACCTTCATGCTTTACTTCAGTTTACCAGCTATTTGTTATTAGAAACTTGACTTGTTTACACTGTTCGACAAAATCCCGATGTAATCTAACTACTGTTAAACTGAGGACTAATTACTAAGTTTGAGTAGGTCTGATTGAAATATGAACCTTGATGATACCAATCTAGAATTATCCCACATCTAAGTATAAGATACTTTCAAATTACTTGATGATAGGTACATTTTATCAACAAGGATTATTGAGGACATTCTATATTTCCATTCTATCACAAATTTGAAGCAATAACCTTCTATACTAGGCAACTATTTTAGTCACACCATACAGTTAAAATCATGAATATGTCATGAAAAAGTCATCTGAATGAAAGATACATCAGTTATTGAGATATTATATGATATAAGGAAGAAGTGTTTTCAACTCAGGATTCATATATTTTTAATACAGGAGGAAGCACGCAAACACTTTAACTGTCCTAATTTGGATGGAGTTGACATAGAGAACGAAGGTGGACAAGGAACATTTGGTACACACTTCGAAAAGAGAGTAGTTGGTGTAAGTTAATTTAAATTTCATTTTTTACAAGAAGTAAATTTCTCGTTAAAATAGATTCGTCAGTCACAATTCGTTTATGATGTTATCTACATGAACAGTTTTAATTTTATTGATAAGACTTATTCGACTGACCAATATGTGTTATGTATAGAATCGATTAATCTAATGTAGCATAACTTGACGATTTGGACTGCGTTGATGACTTAGCTCTTCTATACCAGACACACCAACAAATCCGGGTGAAGACAATCAATATAGCAGTCTTCTCTACAGCAGTAAGCCTAAACATATAACACCAACCCAATCATATTTGATGGAAAAACTCTAGAACAGGTGAAAACTTATACCCACCTGAACAGCATCATCGATGAACAAGGAGGATCTGATGCAAATGTGAAGGCCAGAATTGACAAAGTAAGATCAGGATTCTTACAACTGAAAAAAGTAAGGCACTCCAACTGACTGTCAGTCAGCATCAGAGTCAGAATCTTTAATACGAACGTGTAGATAGTTCTACTGTTTGGAGCTGAAACTTCCAGAACTACTAAAACCATCATGAAAGCGGTATAGATATTTATAAATAATTGTCTAGACACCATAGTGAGTGTTCGCTGACCAGATACCATCAGCAACAACTTACTATGGGAAAAAACAAACCAGCTTTCATCTGAAGAAGAAATAAAGAAAATTCGCTGGGGGCGATTAGGATATACATTTCGGAACTCATCAAGCCGTATCACGAGGCAAGCGGTAACTTAGAATCCTAAAGGGAGACGAAAACTTGGAAGGCCAAAGAACACACTGCATCAGGAATGGTAAGCAGATATCAGAAGAACAAATAGCGGTTGGAAACAGATGAAAATCATTGGCGAGAACAGAGTTCGATGGAGGATCGTGGTGGGCAAACTATGCTTCTCTATGAGGGCTAGCAGGCGTAAGTAAGTTAGTAATTAATCAACTCATTACATTCTTCAAAATATGATAAAGTTGATTCATTTACAGTAGTCAATAAGTAATGATATGGCGTCCTTTATTTCTCTGAGACTATGCAGTGTTAACTGTTCAGGAATATTATTCATAAATTCAATGTTATGATCTCATAAAATCATTAGGATTAAAGTAAAGGGTATCAAACAATCATACAATGAGTTAATTTACTACTTGTAATATATAAATAGTATGTATATGTTGTGTATATTGTAGGATGAAACAATGGCAGGTGTTACTGGAGTGAAAACTGTAATGTCAAGGCTTACATTGGCATTCTTCACAGACTCTGGGTAAATTGATACAATTCAGAAAACAATGTATTATCTAATATTTCATCTGCTTTTTTTGATGATCATGCTTAATTTATCTGGATTTTGAACTTGATTATGCTTTTCATAAACTAATATAAGGGTTCTGAGCAAAGATAAATAGTGGCTAGCAGTCGAAACCAGGAATCGCGTTTCGTCCTATTAGGGACTCGTCAGCTGGATGCAAATGCATCTCCTAGTTGATGTCCACTCTGTGACTCGAGACCAGTACCGTTCGCTCCAAACGCCATCGCGTTATCCACTTAGCTACCGATTCCTGATAGCCACTTGTTTGTGCAGTGAGGTGGTGTTTGAATTACCATGTTATTTTTTTACTTGAATCTTCCTATTGATGTTTAGGACTGCAATTGATCGGTACCGGGTTCGAGTCTCAGAGTGACATGGCAACTCTGAGATGCAGGTACATCCAGCTGATGAGTCCGAATAAAACGAAATGCGCGTCCTAAATTCCATTGCTAGCCACTATCCATACTTGCTTAGAATACTTGTGACCTAAGGCAATACACACAGTATGCACATATGCCAATAAGAGACTGATCAATTACAGTCCTAAACATCAACGAGGAAGATTCAAGTCAACTATACAAAGTGAATTCTAATATATGGGTTATGGATTTTACTGTTTCAGTAAATGATAACATTTCATTTAAATTCATAAATTGCTTGATCTACTTGTATTCATTTCAATATCACTGTAGCTGTGTAATATTTTACAGAGAAATTATTTAGAGCAATTTAGTCCCTTTGATATGTTTCGACAGTGCAATATAGCAGACGAAGTTTATCAGAACTATGTGATGATATTTTAGCGCACTACATCCCGAACAATCTGAACAATCTAAATGAGTGTGTGTGTGTAGCCATATATACATAGGGAGGAGGAGTAATCGTGATCTCAAAATCAGAGTGTGTAGACATGTACCTAAATGCTTGCAGAAACAAATAAAATCAAATGACCCAATAAGAATAGAGGATAAACATTTATCATCCTCTATTGACAAACGCATAATTGAAACAGGTCATAGAATACTTGGATTCATGGCGTAATTACTGAATTGGAACATGAATACAGAGTGATCTTGAATGCTGTTAGAGGTATGAGAACAGTTATCATTTCCCGGTTGCCCACACCGTGGAAATGTCCTCCTGGGAATACAATAGATAATTGTGTGAATTTTTGAGACCAATAGCTTTTTTAGTATGATATAGAAACTATGATTAAGCCTGGGTGGTGTCTGGCTCTCCTGTTAAACAGGATAGAGGTGTAGTGTTTGGGTTGTCACATGAAAGTCTGGATGGTGTCTGGTTCTCCTGAAAACCAATGTAAATTATATAACTATAACTATAGAAACTATGATCCAATTAGAAAGTGGTTATCAGTTATTTATGAAAAATAATAATTTCTTTATTTCATCTTTTTTTCTTCCATTCAATTCATTAAGCTGGTGGGATGTTGACTATTCATTGGCTGAAGCATGGTATTATGGAAAGAATTTAGGTTGTAGCTTTGTTATGGAAAGCTGTTATGCATACATGATGCGAATGAAACAAGCGTAAGATCGATTGGTTTTATTTCCGTATATTTTTGATCAGTTGTTACTATGTGATCTGTTATATTTAATAATGGTTATTGAAATAGTTATCTGGTTGCCAATAATCTTTGAATGAATCTCTAACAGAATGTTTCTTATTTTAGAGGAAAAAGTACGGAACCCTATTGTGATGAACCAGATACTTTAAAATGTTATCATCAAAAAGCATTTGGTATTTGTGCTGTTGGACGGTTTACTCAAAGTTTACCACCTAATGAACAATATTTCAAAGATCCTTCTCAAGGAGGGTCTGGTGCATTAACAGACAGATGTCCTATGATCCAGGTTAGTAGTATGATGAGACTATAAATTTTATACGATATTTAAGTGATGCCAAAGTAACCTTGAGAGTGTCTACCTACTTACTAAGGCAAAATGAGGGTTATAAAGCAGTCTGAAGAATAAGGATTATGATTCACAGTTGATGGTAAGGATAAGGAATTACAATGAAAGTTTTTCATCATGAACTGACATCAGCTAAAATGCCAAAACACTACTTGGCCAAATAGGTGAGTGAATTTCGCGCCAAAATCAAGCACCCATTATCCTAAATCTGATTGGATCGTCCATAAATTATAGTCTCGCCAATTTTGTTCCTAAAATGTCTATGATACTCTTGTCCATGATCTCTTGTCTAATCTGATTTCAATCATTCATTTGGTCTACATTTTATAAAAATGTAATATGTAGGGTTTAAAGGAAACTTTTCATATTTAACAAACGGTATAAGAAGAATTTAAACTTATTTGAATCTTATTTTCTACACCTTGATGTTTCAGTAGAATTTTTGACTGTTTACATATTTAGTAGTTGAATTCATGAGTCAATTGAAGGTAGACCACCATAGAACCTGGAAGCATTGGATGTCCGTTTCGTCCTAGTATGAGACTTCTCGGTAGTGCACATCCACGATCACACCTCACGAGATTCGAACTCAGGATCAATCAGTCCCGCGTGCGAGACATTTGTACATTGTATATTTTGAATACATTACTTTGTTCTATACATTTGACATAAACTTATCTTTACATACGGATTGAATATTTCTGAAATGTAAGCATTTTGTACAAATCAGTCAAGTACGCTCATTAATGACTATCCCCAATAGGTATTTCCCGGAGTTCTAGTGAGAAACAGTGATTAGTGGAGTTCAACTGGGTCTGTTGTCAGATAGTAACTCACTGAAGACAATGCTGTATGTGTTGCTCAATTTCGTGGATTACTTGGATTGGATACCGGCCGGCTAATCGTTCGTGAGTTAAAAACTCTTGAGACCGGATCGTAGATGCTCATTGCTGAGGAGTCTCACAATAGGATGAGTTGGCTTTCCAGTGCTTCCAGGTTTTTCATGGTGGTCTAGCTACAATTGACTTATGATCTCAACTATTAAATTACTAAAATCTTCACAAAACCCCTTCTGATATTATAAAATCTTCAAGTTTAAGCTACATAACCGTATTATTTCTGGAATTAAGTTGGCCTATCCATCACCACCTTGTAATAGGATAAAATACCTATCCAGTTCTATTTAGTTTTTACTGGTTATCTAATTCGGTTTATTCATAATCTCGATAATAAAATTGTTTTCGGATTATTGCATGGCTTATCGTCAATCACAATGATCAAGTGGAAACAAGCTGATAGTTTATTTTCATCACAAAATAATCTCATTTGGCATATTAGTGAAAATTAACAGGTATAAAATAACTGATTCATTCTAGTATGAAAATCCGCAGCATTGTACGATGAGGTTGGAATTGTAACGCTGAATCTCCGCCCAGTAGTTCTAATAGTTCAGTATTCTTCTTAAAGTCCGAAAGTCCTCTTTTCGATTTATGTTGAGTTAGTGTCAGTCTACTCCACTGAAATCCCATACCAAAAAGAGACATCTGAGTAACGTTCCTTGGTCTTTAAGTTGACTCTAACTGAGAAAAATGTATGACGAATAGAACTCCCTAATTCAACAAACATCCAGTAAATCCCTTCAAAGAAACCAATTCATTAGTTGAATGATAAGATTCATCCTATAAGTAGATCAGATTGCTCTAGTTAATGTTTATTCAAGTGTATATTGGATTGTATCCTGGAACAAACTTTGTGGAATCAATCTATTGAAACACTTTCATACCTTTTTCTTTTGTCCTTTAAAAAAAAAACAGCCTATGCGATCCTTTTTCAATGAACCAATTGTAACATACTGTGATCATCAGCTTAATATTCCTGTCGGTAAGTAATTAGGTAACTTTCAGATTTTTAATGAAAACCAGTAAGTAATCACTGACTATTCAAATAGAACTAATTCTGGTTATCGATAGTATTTATCAAGAATATATTCGGAATAAAGGATTCATATGACAAAATAGACGTAACATTTCACTGAATATAAAGATTAATTAACTAGTAATTTAACCTGAGTAAAATATCTAAAGAACATTTACATTGACCGTTTCGATTTGTTTATTTAAATACATAGACATTGGTACAAAGGGGCATCGAATAGATATGCGCCACATAAATCATTCGATTTATGTGAGGGCTGGGATACTGTCCGGGTGCCCAAACCGAAGCAGGTGATTTCCATAGACGGCCACACCCAAAGCCTTTGATAAAAGAACCTGATCCACAAGACAGTGGAGGAACGTAAGGAGATGCAGTCTCATGGTAGTCGGTGACTAATAATTGGTTCATACGCCATGTTTCCTTAGGATCCTGGAGAGCATATGCACTATCTGTTTGGAATCAGGATTTCTCAACTCTCCTAGGTGGACTCTCCGTGTTCATTAACCTGGTTAAAGCGCCATATTTTCGCTTTTCGTCCTCTCAATTTCGTAAACAACACCGGTGGCACTGAGAAGAACTTCCTTGGCAGTGGCTGTATACGTGTAGCTATGTGAGAGCATTTGGCGAGGGAGATTTGGCTCTCCACACTCTCAGCCGTGCCAGGGCATTTGGGGCTACAATTTCGATATAAGGTTCAATAGTGATAAGTCTTCTAATTGAACGCTAGATTCGGTTCCTAAGCTCTTCTAGTAACCCTCAGGCCAATTCCACACAACGACTTGAACACGTGAGAAAAGATGCGAAATACGAGAGAAACGTTTTATGTACAGAAAATCTAGGGTATTTATGGCATTTTAGATTACCTCGATTTTCCGGAAATTTCTAGAATGTTACTAAACAAATCAGTATAGGTAATCATCCAAACAGAAACGCGACACGTGACTAATCACTTTCTATATGTTACTAGAAAACGTTCTATTGAATGTTGATTGGATAAGATGATTCCTAGTGTTTTCAGGCAGCAGCCGCAGCAGCAGTAGGTCTCAATATACACAAAGGGAAAAGCAAGATTCTCCGATACAACACATCATGC